ACTTCAGCGGTAAAAGAAACTCGACCTGTGATCGGCTTGTGATCAGCGAGAACCACAGAGCTAGCTAGTTCCCTATTAAGTGAATTGTACTTACGTCAACTCGAAATTAACTCGCTCATCGTGAACCCTCGATAGGATATTAAGAAAGTTCCAGACTAGAAAAAAAAAAGACTTTATATTGCTTGTAAGTTTGTGAAACTTTTGTATATAAATCATTGTTTCTAATAACTATTTGTAATAACTGGTATTGTAAATTGTATTATTGGTTGTATATTAAAATATATTTGTATTTAAAAAAAAAGAAAACTATATGTATCAATATTGTTGGCAAATATCATAAATTGGAGATATATCGGCATTTATTTAACTACTAAATTTAAATTATCATTTATCTTGGTTTCAGACCATTCGAAATTGTCATACGTAATAATACTACCAAAATTCCCACTACATTTATCCAACTTTGGAACCCTTACTTTTGACATAAACAATACAATAGAAGTATTTTAAATAATGTTTTTCATTTGTCTTAAGTTGAAGACAGGATGATAATAGTATGGTTTGACTAGACTTGACAGTAAACTAACCCACGAGGCATGTGCAGATCTGGTGATTTGAATGGGTTACAAATTTACTGTTTTGGAATTTTGCTTTTTCAAGAAAAGGGCGTGGATTTGCCCCGAGAAGGGCTCTGGATTTCGGAGCTGGCATGCGACATCACGAAATATTCCCTCCACGTTCAGCTGTGGGTACGTTTATAAGAGTGATATTCAATTCCTTAGTGTGAATGGGTGGTGACAGGGTGCTATGGGGCGAGTGCTTTCAATCTGGTCAGTAGTTCATAATTCGGGACAGCGGCAGATAACTTTAGTAGCTTATCACAAGTATAAACTATAAATACTCAAAGAAAATGTATAAAATGCTCTTTCTGTCGTTTATTTTCAAATAATTAATAATGCCCGATTATTGTTAATTTTTCAATTCCTTTTTAATTCAGCTGGACCAGGTCCTGCGTATGTATAATGTAATGACGTACGAAGTCTGTTGTTATATGTGTATGAAACTTGGTTACGCAAACTTCAGAATAAGTAAAAAGTGTCTTCTTTATCCTAAGCGTATAATGTTCCAAAGCTAGCAACCTGATTTAAATGTGCTTCAAAACCGTAGGAGTAACTCATAAATAATTCCTTTAAAATAAACGAGCGAATAAAGGAGTCTTGAAGGATAGTGGAACCCTCCGTTGTAGTGCTTTTTGATATACCCTTAAAATTCAAAAGTCCAGTAAAAGAGTGTAAAACTGGAAGTAAAAACAACTAATGTACTCATTATGTGATATGTTCTTACTGGTCGATAATGTGAGTTTGTTGATACAAAGATATGATTCTTGCATTTTATAAAATATACTTTTTGCTTTCTTAGCGTTCTGTTATGATTGTTTCGCATCATCATTCTTCAAAGGTTTTAAACTTTTATAAAATATTTATCAGTTTGTCTATGACATCTTGTTAAAAGAAGTGATACACGTAATGAGAAGAATTCGTTGCTTTAAATCATCGAATTGATGTTTTAGGTGATATAATTTGTCAGACATACGCTGTGATAGATACATTGTCTTTGACCTACATTTTCTAAATCTTAATATGTTAGGTTCAGAAAAGTTGAAACCTTTCCAGATAATTTAACTCAATTCCAATCAAACAATTTCCTTTTTAGATGTATTTTCAATAATATATGTTAGGACATAAAAACGTTATTTACAATATTTGACCTATATATATATATATATA